GTAACGTGGCATTTAGCGAACGGGGGACCACCCTAGGTTTAGGTTAGCTAACGCCGATGGAACCTCGGATCTGAATCCGTTGAACCGTCTACTGGTTCAAAGAACGAATTCTGAACTTCTCTTTGACACGAATTCGCGTCACTTCATATGGAGAGATTTTCAAAGAATTTTTTCACGAACTATTAAAAGAATCAATTCACACAACAGTTCGCACGGTTATAGTGAATTTCTACAAACAGGTGATCAAAATCATTGGATTGCTTATAACCAAGCTAATTAATTAAATAAGAACAGATTTTTAAATATTTTTCGATAGCACATGCACAAATTTTATGTGAAATAAAAAAAAATTGTTTGAACACTAAGACAGGTGTGCGAGTCCAAATACAAATACTAAATTGAAGAATGAAAAAAGAACATAGAATGATTGTTTACACGCTGACTGAACCAAGCAAGGCAATCGCTTCTTTAACTAAATTGAAGAAGATCGCACAGTTCTGGTTGAAGCTTAGATGAAGCTCGTATCTTCGATACGTTTTATATTTAGCTCAGATCTCTTGACGGTAAGGGTCCCCGTAAATAAATAACTCGCCTCTACGCGTCAAGGACACACTTATTTAACAAATATGCGAGTAAACGACGACGACCGAGCCATTATCCCATTAGATGTCGAGAAAAAAAAAATTTATTCGCTGTCGGCAGAAGGAAACCGAACTCCAAGCTTTATTTTAGAAAAAATGAAAACTCGAAACACGACGCCGACCCAGACTCAAAGTGACCCAAGCTTTTTTGCTTAATTTTGGTTAAATGAAAGGGATTCAGCTCTTAGAATGACGAAAACGTAAATCGCAAGGCGAACTATTGACTTCGGCGAAATTATGCGTAGAGACTAAATTAAACTAGCAACTAAACAATTCGGCAGACAGCTTGAATGAAATCTGGGAAAGCGTAGGCATGAAATTACTTGATGGAAGGCAATAACTAAAACTAAATCCAAAAAATTGATTGTCCCTTCAATGTTGCTTCTAAATGCTAGTCATTCCGATTCGCATTCGTTGTTTATGATATCTATCTTATTTTCAAAATAAATAAGAACTAAAAAGTTCAGATTTTCACGAAATTATATATTATGACATGACAATTGTTTCGACAACACCGTGTCTTTATCAAATGTCATTTCATAAAGACACGGTGTTGGCGAAACAATTGTCATGTCGTAATATATAATTTCGTGAAAATCTGAACTTTTAGTTCTTAATTATTTTGATAAATGGATTTTCATCAAGTAAAAGCCACCTCAGTTCAATGTCTTGTTTTCGGCTAATTTTCTGTTTACTTCTGTAGAATTACCTTTATTAAAAATACAAAAAATACAGAATCGATAAGCAGGCACTCACGCCATATCATTTTATGGCCTGTATGTTGAACCCTCGAAAGCAAAACTATGAGTTACCCGAAGAAAAGAATCTGGCTTTAGAAACACTGAACTTTTAAATAATAAAAAACGCACTTTTAGTTTTGTACACTCGGATATAAAGAACAAGATCGCTTTCGAAAAATCGTCACTGGCCGGGGCAAGTTCGTAGCTGGTAGCGCGAAGCAGGTTTTTATTATAAAAAGAAAGAACTTCGCGGTTTCGTGTGGTAAAGGGACGCATCGTTTTTCTATCGTGCTCCTGCGGACCACTATGGAAAATCGATATAATTTAATTGTGCATGCACCCTGTATAAAATGTCCTTCACATCTCGTCGAACTTCAAAGTTACAGCAAACATCGGTAAATATTAAAATTTGTATAATTGACGAAACCTGAAACTATTTATATATTTTACATTTTTTGCCCATAAACGACACACCCTGTATATGATACAATCATTGTTCGAAGTAGAGGTTATAGCCCTGGATTTTCCACGCTTCCTGGTTCAAGAATTTTTTGAAAATAGTAAATGGTTTTCGAGAAAATAAGTTTTTTCTGAAACCATGCGGCGCACCGTAATAATCAATGACGTCATCGCGTCTTGACGGTGCCCGAAATAAAGCAGCGTATGTGATAGACGAAAACCGCAAATACAAAAACTGTAGTTCTTGATGCGGTCTATGACACCGTTTGAAAATAATAATAATAATAATTTACTCTAAAAAAACAATTTTCTAGGTCTTTTTTGGCTATAATTTGAAAACCCTGTATATAATCGAAAAAATGCCTGAAATAAATGTTATTACACTGGATCTTCTGCCAATTTTGAATTTTGCCAATCGGATGACGATTATGGAGGATAACATATTTTTCTGGAATCCAAAATTACCAAAAAAAAAAATTCAAACATTTTTAAAAAATACTTGGTAAAATTGGATTGCGCCCAATTTCTACCGTTTAAATGCGGACACGGACTTTTACTTCTCTGCTAAATTTGAAGTTGATATCTGCGAATTTAGAATACCAAACACATTTTTCACTTAGAACGGAATATCGGGAACACCCTGTACAATAGATGAAAACTTTAAATACAAAAGTTTTTTCTGTCTATGCGGGCTTTATCGCAATATAAAAAGAAAGTGAGATCTGAATTATAGTCTTTCAGTTATAACCAATTTTTAATAATAGGGAGACCCATTTCTCAACTTGTTTGAATTTGTATATTTTTGAAAAATTGTCAAAAATAAAGTATCTTCTGCGTCTTCTGGTCCAAGATTTTTCTTATTCTCGAAAACAGTTTTTGAAAAATGACGCCACATTTTCAAAAACAGTCGAAAATCGCGAAAAAAAGATGGATACAGGCGTCGGATCAGGGCCATTTCTCATAAGCTTCTGTGCCTCGTGGACGGTTAAAAAAGAGGCAAATGTCTATTTTGCAGCTCCAATGGTTCGAAAGTTATTAATAAAAAAAAACAAAAGACGAGAACGGGGAGAACAGACAAACCGAGATATAAAATTTTTATACGAGCGCACTTTCGAAAATTCGATTTCATCGATTTTCGAAAGTAACAAGATGGAAAAAAGAGGGAAAATTGTATTTTTGTTCAAACAATACGACGAAAATACAGAAGAATACATAAAGTGAATTTTATGATGTTACTTGTCTTTTTTTTTATTGTATTTTAGTTTTTATTTCTGATATTTTTACGCTGTGCTTTTTGTGTTGGTCTCAACAAAACAAATGCAAGTTTGATTTAAATCATGATTTTAAATTTAAAAAATCATGAAAGTGGCACCTAATTTAAGCACTTTTCGACTAAAAAAAGTTAATTACTAGTAACCTACAAAATTATTTAAGGCATTTTTCCAATTAATCTGACGAAGGAGCTGGTTTAAACCAGTTTGACACATCTCTTAATGACGTAGCGAGTTCTTTTTGCGTTTACCCTGCGAGAAAACTGTTCCTACAGTCCAACGTCGTTGCCCGAAATACGCACATTTACCGTTACTAAATAAAAAAAGAAACAAAATCGAGCCTCGGCGCGAAACAATATGAAAAGCGATTCTCGGCCCCGGGCACCGCCCACCGCGATCGCGTTCATTATCACGGCTCACCTTTGGTAACAAAAAAGACAACAGACAGTCGCCTCGACGCGGCGTGTTTGTCGAGCGAAGTGACTGTGGCGCCTGCAGTCTGTGTTTGTTCCGTAAATTAACACAAAAGAACACCAACCGAACGGAGCGCAACGATTATCGCACCTTTTGTTATATCGGGGCGAATAAGACAAGCGGAACCTAACTGTTTTTTAAATGGGTTTAATTGGTACGGTGTCGCGTATTGGATCGACATTGACGTTAAGTTGGCGCTTTAAAGAATGATTTTGCTGCTTCAGTATTTCGCATTTAGAACCTTAATGAGATTTTAGAAAAAAAAAATTAATACAAAAGTTCTATGGTTTAAATTAAATTTTAAAATTGTTTTTTTTTTAAGTGCGATAAGTGCTGGACCGACATTAGTTTTAAACTTTTTAACCAGAGCACCCTATATATTTTGACATTTTAGAATCCTTTCCAAAAAAAGGTTATTCGTAATTTGTGTAGGTCAGACAGAAATTGAGATTATATTTTTTTATGCGAAATTATGTTCTTCTGGAACACCACGACTGGCAGTAATCACTACTTAATGAAATTTTAAACATATTTTTGAAAGACTTCTAACGATCTGCGATGACTAGGCATTTTCAAATTATACACCGTGTCTTAAATTAAAGGACATTTTTTAAAAATCTCAACTTTCAGTATTCATTTTTGTGTAAATGAGACGCTGATATTTTCCTCGAAGACGGTCAAAATACCTAAAATTTGGTATATATATATATCTCCTATACCTAAATCTAATGGTTTTCGAAATTTTTAGGAATAGACTCGCTGACGAAAAATATAGACACCTAATTATATTAAAGAATTTTATAAATCTTTCTAATATTTTATATTTGATGTATGTATGTATTTTATATAATGCTTTAAACCATATAGAGGTCGTCTATCAACGTGCATTATTCAAAATGGTGGACATAGTGAAACCTACTGTAGATTTTCTATTTTGTTTTACCTTATTTTTTAATTTAATTGTTACAGCTACTGCTGTTTGTCGCTTTTACTTGTTATTGTTAATTGTTTTCAATAGAGGATATAAAAAATGATGACGTTTTAATTTCCTAAATCTACAAATCGCTCTATTACCTTACCGACAAAAAAGATCCATTACCCATGGCAAAAATCCTTAAAAATTAATTAAAAAATTAGAATAATATTCTTTTTTACGATAATTGACAGTGTCAAATTGACCTAATGAATACTGCAAGCCGAAATTAAAAAAAAAAAACACCCTATATAATTTCATCATCGCAGGTTTTTAGAAGGAAATGTGATTAAAATTTGAACAAGTGGTCATTACTGCCAGCCGTAGAAATAATTTTAAAATTTAACTTAAACCATAAAACTTTTGTATATATTTTTTTAATTAGTAGTTCCTGAGTAAAGGTACAAGCCCCTAATAAAATGCCCACCCTGAACGTACATACCTGGTTGGCACAGTCTGCTCCAGTGGTACGGATTGCAGCAAGCATAAACGGGGTCGCATGCGGATTTGCACTGCGGTAACCTGCGGAGCTCCGCGCCCTGGTTCAGATCGGGCCACCTCCAGTACTGACAGCACAGTACCTGGGGCTCGTCATCGAAGTCGCGGCGCACGAGGACGCAATGTCCTGGATCTACGCCGCGACTGTCCACCGCGGTCAATAGCATCTCCAGTTGGTTTTCCTGCAATGGAAAACCGGATAACAACCAGCAACGCCACCAAACAAAGCAAAATAGAATTCAAACCGCTCCTGGCAATTGCGACGGATTTTTGAAGGAACCTTGCGAAATGAGAATTGTATGTTCGGATGGATCAATTTAAAGTCAAATCGTCGGAAAATCGTGTAGACTTCACCAATGAAGATTGGCGAAGAATCACGCCCTAGGGACTTGCTCGAGAAATGTTAAATTTTTTTGAAGCAAATGGACTTTATTGTAATATAAAATCACAAAAGACGAAATTTAACTATTTTTAAACTGTTTTATTGTAATCGAACCTAACCAAACCTTATACAGTGTTGGGCAATCTTCGATTTTTATTTAAAAAAAATTTAAAAAATACATTAATATGATATAACGATCTAGTGTGCGGGAAGCGTTACTTTACCACGTCAGTTTCGTTTCCCACGAATCCGAGCCACTTCAGACGTTTCCGGGATTTTACCGCACGGATTTGGGAGCAATCGGATGTTTTCGGAGATATTTCCCAGGCTTTGAATTTTGACGTTTGTCAATTCTGACGGTCATGTCAGTGAATGTATTCGTGTTGTTTTATGAAAATGTACCCAAAAACTAACGGTCGTAGAAAAAGTATAGTATGTAACACGCAGCAAGCTCTGAAGACGCCAGCAGGTTGATTGACGAAACGTCAGCAAGTTCGACAGCAAACCAAAGCAGGAGGAATCCAGAAGTTTTGTAAAAAGTAAGCATGATGTTATTTAAGTTATTTATATACATATTTTTTTAAAGAATTGTGCGTAACTTTTTATCTGTGATAATATTTTTACGATGTGCTTTTTGTATTAATTAATCTTAATAAAAAAAGGTTTTAAAAAATACGAGTTTAAAAAAATAAGAAGAAAACATATTCTACAAAAACCATGAAACGACCTATTGAATTCTAAGATGGATCCCGTGAACTTGCTGAGTTGTGTCACTCGTAGAGATATTAGTTGGATTTGGGCGAACCCCGTTGAATTGTGTAAATTGCTGGTAAAATATGCGAAGCAACTCCGTTTTGCGAAAGGACTCGCGACAAGTCGAGATGCGGCGGCGTCGCGACGTCGTTCGCTGTCCGCGCTCTAAATATAAACGCGCGGGCATTATCGATACAATTAACCGTGGGCTGTCACGTAAACAATGGCATACTGGGCGACCCGCTCCCGTCGTCCCTCGTACCCGCGCCTGGTGTTAACGACCGGTTGACAATCGAGAAGGACGAATTTCGTGCCGTGGCATTCCGATCCGCGCGCCACTTCATTGCCTTCAATTGGGATTTGTTTAAACAATTAATAACGATGCACGCTGAATCTGGCACGCGATTCGTGGTTAATTCTCCCGGCGGCCGCTCTCTTCAGAAGCGGGATGCCGCGGAATAGAAAAAATATCGATATCGTTAACTACTTAAGTTTCTTTCTTTTTTCATACAATTTCCACAAACCAGCAACCCAGTGTAATGTTGCACACAAAAAACGCATTTTATAAGGATTAATCTCAGTAAATCCATCTTCCATAGTTCAAAGGACGTAAGGTCATATCCCGGGCGACACAAGAAAGTGGGAACACTCGTATAACATTTAAGCGGCTTGAGATAGCCATTTGAAATTTGGAAGGGTTCTTATAGGCCGAAGGTCTAATTTTTTGACAATATGTAGTCGTCAATGGTCACTTTCGCTTTTTTTCTACTCCCGCCTGTAAAATACCTTTTCGCGTCACTTTACCACTCCAGTTAATTTTGCCACGAATCCGAGACACTTCGGATATTTCCGGGATTTTACCGCACGGATTTTGGAGCAATTGGATGTTTTCGGAGATATATCCCACGCTTCGAATTTTGACGTTTTTCAATTCTGATGGTCATATCAGTGAATGTATTCGTGTTGTTTTGCGAAAATGTACCCCAAAAACTAACGGCCGTAGAAAAAGTATAATATGCAACACGAGTTTATTTGATACGAGCGGAGCGAGTTTTTAATAAATGCCGTTTACCGCACTTGTTGCATAATATACTATTACTTATCTGTTTTTTTTTGCTTCCTGTGGGCTTATTTTTTCACGGAATTTGAAAATTTTTCTGTCAAAATGTTGCAAAAAAAGTACCGATTAAAAATTTATTGTTCCTCACTAGGGTGATATTTGAAAAAACTAAGTTATCCTAAAAAATTAATAGTCCATTACATTAAATGCTATTTGCCATTAGACAAGTAACGTTTCATTTACAATTTATCCCGTGATCAGTATCGGTAAACAGTAGGATTTATGATGGTCCCAGCCTCCTAGACACAATTTTTAAAAATTAAATAAAAATTAAAAAACGAAAACAAAAAAAATGAGAAAAACCACCCTAACCATTGACTACCATTGTCAAAAAAATCGACCTTCAGCTTACATTAACCCTTCCAAATCGCTATCTCAAGCCGTTTAAAAGTCATAGAGTGTTCCCACTTTCTTTTGTCACCCGGTATACTTTTACAACATTTCGCTTACGTTAAATCAGGGCTAATATCGAATCAAAAATTGGTGTTAAAAGAACAAAATATTAATAATTGATCATGCGCGCGTAAGCACAATTTGAACCAGGTATGGTCTGTTCATAGATATAAGAAAGTGACCAATTGGTTTCGAATGGAATTATCCAAGGGTGGCCATTAATATACAATGCAAGAAGATTATTACCTAAAGTTTCGGAATTTAAATTCAGGTAAAATTGTGGTCCGTAATAGAAAATAATTTTATACCTACCTGTGTTTAATATTCTTTGGTTTGGTATACTACTTAGTTTAAGTTTATTAATAATCATAAAATCGGTGTTAAATGTGGCAGAACTACCTTATGAAAGTTCAACACATGGGTTTTAGATTTTAAAAAATTGACAAAAGGCAAGTTTTAATGGAATCTTTTAGAATTCGGAAATGTAAATTGTAATGGACAATGAAAGTTATCCATGACGGACAGACAGTTGACTAAAACCCCCTCCTCATGTGACACAAAAGCAACAATCCAAAACTATATTTATTTTCACGAAGATTATACCAAAAAGCAATTAATTGTGGTTCTGCAAAGCTTGAACCTACAAAAGGAATATGTCTGTGATAATTATGCAAAAAATCTAGGGCATACAGTTTTAAGGCTTCCACCTTACCACTGTATATTTAATCCCATTGAACATTTTTGGCACCAACTGAAATCTGCCATTCGTCGTAACAATGTTTTTCCCCGTGTTAACTCCAATGTCTTCAAACTCATAGAAACCGAAGTTTTTAACATCCCTCCATAAAGTTGGGCAAATTCTGTTAAACATATAGAAAAAGCAGAATAATCGTATATCCATATTGCGAATAATATAGAACAAATAATAATTAGAAAAGGCGATGGTAGCATTAGTGATACTGATATATTATGTGAATAATTTTCAGTAATTTAAGTATGTAATATAAATAATTTGTAATTTTACTTTAGATTTAAACATAAATAAATAAATATTGTTTAGTATCTTTGGTAACAAAACCCCAAATAATTAAAAGTACGGACCTGTTCGGCCATATTTCATTCTTACTGCTTGCCCGGGTCTTTCCTTAATTCAGGGTATGTGGAGCAGCGATAAGTAAACGAGAAGCTCCAAAACTCACGTGTGAGATTGATTCTCGGTATTCATCGAAGAGGGCTCTCATAAACTTAAGGACCTAAATTGGCTTCATATGCATAATCTGCGTGTATTACATGCCACCAATTTCTTTAACCGGATTTTCAATTTCGTATTTAGATAAATTTTACGTTATTGACTTTCATAATCTAGCAACATTTTTAGACGTCTTTTGAGTACTGTCGCATTTTTCCAATTTGCTTCGACATCATTTCTTTCGTTTTTAATATTCGATAATTACAATTCTTGTAGTTTTACACTTTACTTTTTTCTTTTCGTCTCCTTTGTACCACACATTTAAATGTCTACTGAACGCCTGACTTATGACAGTTTATGTGTTGTCTCATTTTTGTATCCAAATATTATTTTTCTAGTCTTTTTGGGACATTTATTTATTGTTATTGTATTTTTTCTTCTAGTGGATCTACTGAATCTTTAATTACTATTAAAACCATACGATTTTGGGAATTTTACAGAGGAATTGTGTACACTACGGGTAACTGTGACGTAGTGACTCGCGAGGGAATTTTGTAATCTGAATGACATGGCCGTCAGAATTAAAAAACGGCAAAGTTCAAGCCGTGCGCGAAAATCTCCGAAAACATCCGATTGCTCCCAAACCCGTGCGGTAATATCCGAAGGGGCTCGGATCCGTGGGACAAGGAGCTCGCTTGATAAGGTAGCGCTTTGGGCACACTACATAGGTGTATAATTCGGTATTTTACAGACGAGAGTAAAAATTAACAACTGGTAAGAGCTACCATCACTTCGAATTTCATGAAACGATGTATGCGTATGTGTTTGCTATGTGTGGTAATAAGAGCGCGGACTGTGGACCGGTAAAAATCATGTATATAAGGGAATATTTTTTATAACAGGATTTCTAAAAACAGTTAGAAGGAACGAGAACGCTCCCCACTCCTCGTAAAATTCCACGTTACCTTTAACGAGGCAACCGTTTGAAACCAACATGGATAGCATTCTCGAAAAATAATTAGCCCATTCGTCCGAACATGGAAAGACTCTCGAATGATCGACCCAGTTTCCGAGAACTGGCGAACGGAAATTAAAGAATGGCGCGTCTCCAGGTCAAGTGGAAGAAGGGCAAAGGGCCCCTTTATCTGCGTTCGCGGGCTCCTCATCGAATATGCCCGATCATTTGACGCAGACTTGCCATCCCCACCAATCAGGCGTTACGTTCGAACAGGAAACTCAATATAAATTTAACCAATGTAATTATGGTGGCACCATTTACAAAACGTCGGGAGCTGAACTTGTTTTATTAGCTGGAGACCATTTTTAAGAGGTATATGGTGTGTGACCATTTCTTCTGTGGAAGCAATCAATATGTCCCCTAGTTGTAGAAATTAATGAAATGGAGTCCAGTTGAACGACATGAATTGCCGACTTCTTAATTTCCGACAAATCTGCTTGAACGAAACGTTCCTGCGTTTTGCCAAAATCTTTCCAAGGAAGGCATTTTTTTCCAAGACCTTGGTCCTCATATTTGTGTGCAAAACAATCAAGCGCCTGGGCCAGGAAATATAAAAATTGAGATGTTGAAATATAGAGGAGAAAGGATTCGTACCTTTCATTGAAGTATTATTGAATAAAAATGGAATTTGTCATACGTGTCCTCCATATATATAAAAAAAGAAATAAGACCAACAATTACAGACGAATCAGTGTCATCCCCTCAACCGGAAGACTTTTCACCACAATAATAACAGAAAAACAGAACAACATACAGGTCATAGAAAAGAATAAAGACAAGAACATTGAAACACATATGACATTCAGAGATGGGATAAGAAGTGTGGTGTGTTCAAGTTATTCGGTCCAATTGGACTTCATGAGAAGACTAATAATAAGAAAATTAGAAGACGGAGCATTGCAACGGTATAGTCATGTATGAAGAATGTCAGAACACAGGTGGCCAAAACGAGTACTCGAATGGGAACCTCTAGGGAGAAGGCGATTCATTGGACATGCGATGATTGTTAGAGATCTCAGAGTAGGGGACTGGAATGTAAAAGAACTGTGTTACCATTACTTGCCAGGATCGTTAGAACCTGAGAAGCGACGACGCAAAAACTAAAATAAATTCTGCCAATATGGCGGACGGGTCGCGATAAGAGTATAAAATGTGTGCCCGCGTGTGTGGCGTGGCGGTTTTTTGTTTTCGAAATTAACAATAAAGATAAGGCGGCGGCTAATTCGCCTTTGATTTTCAACACTACACAGAGACACCGCCGCCATGTCACCGCCCGGCCCGACAACGATTCGCCAGTTAATTGTTGTCGTATTTAAATTAATTACTTAGCCAAGTTTCGTTCGTGGAAATCGGCGGAACCGCGTCGAAAATAGACGCGGCAACGTCGCCGTCCGACTTGTCTTATTAGAAAACCGGCCGCTATCTCGAGAATTCCGATTGGTTTAATACGGGAAAAAAGCGCCGATGATGGACGCGCCGAGCCTCGTAAATTAATTTTCCGGAAAACCTTAAACGCGGTACCCACGAAGCGGTTGACATCGGTTACGTAAGCACTAGGAACCACTTGTTAATCGTGACGATCAAAAGTGGTCGAAAAGATTTTAAACTTTTCGCTTAGCAAACCGATATTTTGTAGTATTTAATACAATAGTTTGGTATTTCAACTATTCAACGGTGGCGTCAGGCGTTAATTGTTTTAATTTTGGGGTCGGCAGTTGAGGTTCCGGTAGTTTCAGAACCGGGAGACAATCACCTGCAGTCTTTTGAGAAGGGCGTGGACGTCGTGCTCGTGGCCGTCCCCGGGGCACCTGGGCGTCGGGGCGCCGCCCCCCGCGCCATTGGCCCGCCGTCGCCTGAGCAGTTTCCTAGTGAGGTTGCTCGCTTTGCGTCTCCGGAACATAAACATCAATGCGTTGGTTTGCTCGGGCGCGAAGGTGCGACGAGAGTATAAGCAACAGCTGAGCGGACATTTGGGTGCCACACTGAACACACGCGTCGATTTACCCGGGGGGCGAGGAACGGCGGCAGTATGGCGACGCGACGGACGCGCACTCCTTTTCGCAACGTTTCGGTCGTCGTTTTGTTTTGCTTTGGTTTGGTTGGCGTCGCGGGTCGCCTTCGGCTCGGACGGTTCGGTTCTCTCCGGGAGCGGCGGAATCGCGACGGTTCAAATGCACTCCGTACGACGGACGACAGGGAACTGACTGGCGATCGGTGTCTGCCGGCTCGACCTCGCTTGATTTCGTGACGCGGCGCCGAGGGGAGAGGCGGGAGGTGGCGCCACCGCGATCCCAGGACCGGAACGGCCGATTTCGCCGCGGGATTTCTCCTTTTCCGTCCGGATTTCCGAAAATTCCGTTTAAACGGTCGTTCATTTTTAGAAAACTACTCTTTTTATGCGATTGCTTCACGGCTCGACGACGTGCAAAAATTACAAACGAGCAGTTAAGACGTCTAAAGGATATACGATGTTACTAATTGGAACGTCTCCAGTATATGCGATACATATATCCGTAGGATGTTTATTAGGAGATGCTAAGAATTAATCTATGGCGTATTTTTATTTTGCTCTTGATGGTAAAAGTGAAGGACTGCCGATTGAAACAATTAATAAAACATATTTTTCTATTGTAGATATGAAAAATTTGTAGATAAATAATATATCAAAAATATAGAATACCCTAACCTAAAGTATCTGAAATATGAACTAAATTCTAAAAGAATAACAAATATCTGGCATTCTTTAGCGAAAGCAGGAAATTTAAAACATTTTTTGGATTCGTTGCTCGTGTCCTTGACTCTTTTCAGACAAACAGCTATTGAATTATCACATTCTTTTGATGTTTGTGATGTGTTTGCCTTCTTGTCCGCATCTGAAAATATTTTAGTTTTGAAAACGTCAGGTTTTATAAATTTGTACTTTTATATTTTTAAAAAAACAAATTTAAAAAAATCTTAGTGATCTTAGATGCTAATCTCCACGATGGAAGATTTTCGTAATACGAAAAAAATATTGATTGATTTATGCAGTTTGATTGATAAAATAAATACTGTGTTTTTTGCGGATGTGATTCTTAGATCCATTTTAAAAAGAAAATACTTTTTAGAAAATAAAATAATTTATTTATAAGTATTTTTTAAATTATTCAAATATATAGCTAAAAATATAATTTTGTTCTGGGGGATTTTCTCTAATATTGCTTACTTAAAAAAAGAGTAGTTTAGTTTTGTATTCCTAAATTTAATTGCTCAAAAAACATGAAGAGAAAGTAGATTCTATTTTTGTTTTCAAAAACTAAGCAATAATCAAAAAAGATATGCAATTACAGGTCATCTATTTAGTGCATATCTTTGGTATATGGTGTACAGTAAATCAGCAAGCTATCCATTCAGAGCATATCCCTTAGCATATATGGTAACGTATATCCTAAGAACATCCTCCACATGCAACTTAAATAGGACATTGATCGGATATAGTGGGAATATTGTGTACTATTTGGCTATAATCAGATAGTAATAGGTTCTTATTACCGATATTGTAGGGTTATGAATTTAAATTTAACAACGGAGAGGCACTTAAATCCAATCGGTCATTAAGTAATAGATTCGAATATCTCGTTTTAATAATATCAACTATTTATTAATTTATGTCCGACAAACGGGTGGGACATTTAAGAAACGCATTAATGAACATAAAAAGGCGTAAGGGAGGGTGGGACAAGGAGGACCGCCTCAAAAATTAAGCAAAATTTGTTTCGTTATTATAAGTATAGATTCTGGTTATTTATACATTTTTAGCCCTTTGCCACTGGCAAAAGTTAGGCAGGAATAAATCGGCTTGAGCCCACGCTCCCCTATAAAAAGGCCACCGCAGTTCAATCCGTCTGCAGAAAAAAGCCAACAAGCTGAGCGTGTCACAAAGTGGTGCATAATGAAAGTCTTCATTGTTATAAAATGTTTATGGGAAAAGAGGTGAAAATTGGAGCTCAATAAATCGTTAGTCATCGCCATAGAGAGGTTATATTGAACATGAGAAGTAAAAATTGATGTCGTTAAGAAATAAGCTGAAAAGCAGAGGGCCCTGATGGAACTTGTTAATATGAACCAACTGCATCCTTTCAAATAAAACAGCTTCTAACCCAACAGAGTAGACTGCCCTCTAGAATCCAGTTTATTTTTTTTTTCTATACATTTTCCGAGCCGATTCGGATAGAAGTGGGAATGTATTTCGTAGTAAATTTTTAAAAAAGGATACATCAGCGTGTCACTGGGGTTTATGAAAAATAACAAAATTATTCGACGCCTTTTGTTGCCAGCTACTAAGTTATATTCTGTCTTGACGTCATTAGTAGAGTTTAAGAATTGAAATCTGCCGAGTCCGTTCCTGGCAAAACAAATAGCCCGAGAACGTGCGGCGGTCTATTGAAGAGCCATCGAATTTACATTGTTGCGCCACCGAAGGGGTTGCCTTACCACGTGGCGTACGTGGTGGGGGTACGGTCGTTTTTGGGCTGCCGGTTTTTTCTCTGCAAATTCGGGGCATAAAATTAATATAGTGCGACTTCGGATTGAGTAAGTACTTTTTAAACAAATTTTAAAAATTAAAATTATTAAATGATACGACTCGTTTGGACAAATTTCTAGTTTTGGCCTAGTAATAGTATATTAGTATAATAGTGCGAACAAAGAATTTGCATAATTTTTTTTGTAAAAAATGGAATACAGTGCTGCAAAACACTTGAAATGTTGACAACGGTATATGGGGAATCTACTTTGAGAAAAAAAAATTGGTTTCAAGTGGTACGAGCTATTCCAACGTCAATAACTGATCAAAGCGTTGATGAAGTGAAGCAAATGGTGTTGAAAAATCGTCGAATCATCAATAGAGAAGTGGCTGACGTCGGCATCTCTATTGGCTCGTGCCATGCAATTTTTTCCCATGTTTTGGGCATGAAACGTGTAGCTACAAAATTTGTTCCGAAGGAGCATCGCTCGAGAGCTGTTGCTCCTGATCTGCTCAAAAAGGCCGTAACTGGTGACGAATCATGGGTATATGGTTATGACGTCGAAACTAAAGCCAAGACGTCCCAACGGAAGAACCCAGAATCCCAAGGCCGAAAAAGCACGTCAAGTTCGATCAAATGTCAAGGTTGGGCTTGCTGTTTTCTTTGATTATCGTGGCGTAGTGTATCAAGAGTTCTTACCACAAGGTCGTACTGCTAATAAAGAGTATTACCTTGAAGTTATGCGCCGTTTGGGAGAAGCAATACCAACAAAACGTCCACAATTGTGGAATAATGCACCTCGTTGCTTGTGTCTAACCACTATATTTGCCGGATATGGCACCCTGCGACTTTTTCCTGTGCCCAAAACTCCAAAAACCCATGAAAGGAAGGAAGCTTGGAACGATTGAGCAGATAAAGAAAAAAATCGCTGGAAGAACTCGAGCCTATACCAGAAAGTGCTTGGAAAAAACGTTAGCACAAGTGTATTATATCTTGGGGGATTACTTTGGTAATTTTGATAAATAAATAAATACTTTTTGATAAAACTTAAGTCAACTTACTAGTAGAAAAATATATTTTTGGGATAGGTTGAGCATTGTATCGCCGATATTCACTAGAGTGTGAACATTGTCAGGTAATAAAAAAGGTTGCGTCGAAAATTTGAACTAAGTTGATTTTTCCCAATTTGATAAATTAATAGGTACTTGTTTTGTATTTAGCAGGGACCTTTTTTTGCCATCATTAAACTAGATCTGGACCACGCTACTGCTTTGGGTTTTTTAAAAAAAAAAAACAAATCGATCAAAATAAACTCCAAAACGACGCCGTGGTTTTATCACAAGGCAGCCAGCGGCGTAGTCAGGCGTTTCGCGACAAAATTAAGTGCGATCGTTTTTCTGTTTCAAACGGTGTAAACAACGGAAGTTGGCATAGAGTGACAAAGGATAGGGCTTCGTTCGCCCCTCCTTGGTTACGCCGCTGAAGATAACCGCGAAGACCCACCGAAGGGATGGCGCCCCCTAATATAATTCGAACACGGAAAAATTCATCATACGGGGTGGAACGAGACGAGACGGTCTATCGGGCGCCGGCAACTTGGAGGGGGATGGGGGGGCTGCATATAATAGGAAAGCGGTGGCGACCCCCTAGATGCCGCCGAAATGTGATATTTTGATTGTCGTCGCCGCCGTCTGTGAGCGCGGGGGCGTCGTCGCGGGCAGGATGTGTGTGTGGGGGCTCGAGGGGGACGGGGGGCGACTCAGACAAAGTCGCCGCCATCTCCGCTGTTAATTAACGTCGATAAGAGCTTTCGACGACGGTGATTCATGATACGCAGTTTCGTGCGTTTTTCTCCTGGCGTGGTGTACTTGGTTAAAAGTGAAATTTAAAATCCCAACATTTTTTGGCTTGGCAAGGCTTCCTGCGTCTGACTACTTCCACTTTCGACAGCACATATCATTCGAAAAAATATATTCGAAACGACTGTCAATACAATACAAAAAGGTTGTGGAACATCACCTGCTAGGTTTACAGTTCCTATTGTCAAAGAATTGGAGCATGCCTACGGATCAATAGTACAATACAACCAAGTTGCTAGTAATGGGGAAGGTGGAACAAATTTTTATAAAGCTGGGACTGCCTGGAAGAGATGTTACTATAATTCCTTTTCAACATACTTAAAGTGTCCGGATGTACCTTTCACCAAAAGGCCTCAAAAAATCTTGTTATCTCCAATCACATATATCAAAAAATATCAAGAGAGCAAAATTGAAGAGCATAAAAAATACGTAGGAAATATTTTTTTAAAATTGTGAAAATTTGAAAATGTACTAAAAGATAGTCCTAATACTTGAGTAATAAATGCTCACTTTATATCAAGTTTATAATTATGATTATCAATAATTTTATTTTTAACAGACAATAAAAAAAACACGATTTTTTTGTCGGGTTTCCGTTTTTGACCGACTATAGTAGGCCTACTCATGTTTAAAAAATAGTTTTGTTGAGCGGTAAAAGTAAATAACAAAATTCGTGGTTTTGTTTGATTGGTGTTGAGTTTTTACTTGAGATGTTGAATAGAAACATTGTTACTACAAATAAACACTTTGTACTGGATAAAGCTCATTTGAAATTAGTCAGAAAAGGCAAAATTCCAAGATTTCCAGGTATGTGAGGTTAAGCTATTATCTTGATTCGGGTTTAAAG